CCCGCGAGTTCCCCTCGCACGGGCGCTCAGCGGCGGCAGCGGCCGTGGGGGCACCGGCACCTCGCACCAGCCGATCTGAAGACGCCCGGGGCGGACGCCCGGGTAGCGTCCGAGCCGGGGGGCTGCTGGCTGGAAGCTGCCCGCGAGACTGAAAATTAAAAATTAACCCTTTTCGAGGCAACACCGGGGGCTTTCAGGAATTCCCACCCCTCCCCTGAGAGCCAAGCCCTGCCAAGGGACACCCTGGCACACCGCGCTTGGACCTTTGCTTCTGGGTCTGTTGATACTGGCAAAGGCTCCTTCCAGGAGCCACCAGCAGCAGCTGCACATCCCTGTCCTCTCCCGGAGCAGAGGCCGAGGGGACAGCACCCTGCGTTCCCCTCTGTGTCAGATCTGGCACAGCCCAAGCGCTGGGTCAATGCTGTCTGCGTGGCATGTCCCATGCTGGGCCAGGCTGAGGGGGACTGCGGGGCGGGCTCTCTGCCAGACTTACTGGTCCCAGCGGGACCAGTGCGGCAGTATCTTACGGCAGCTGGGCATGCCTGCCTGACACCCCCCCTCCAAAGCCCCCTGAGCGAGCGGGGGACCCCAGCAGAAGGGCAGTGTCACAGCAGGGGGAGAGGGGACACCAATGTGAACACCACCCTCACCCTCTCTCTTTTCCCACCAGCAAAGGAGTGGATGCCCAGCAGGAGGTAGCACCCTGCTGCTTTCAGGTTTCCTGTTCTGCTCCCTGAAGAGCCTAACTTGGTACTCTGCTATCACACTTAAACCAAGGTTACTTTCACTGATGAGGGAGAAGACTTGCAAAATAAGCCAGGGCTGTGGTGAAGCCCGCATAGTCGCTTTTCCACATGCAGCTTGTTAGGGCTATAAATAGACAGCTCCTGCCTGGGCCACCGTCTGTGGGGGCTGAGTGGGTCCTTGTGTGTGCTGGGGGCCCCTGCCTGCCAAGGGCCCCTGCCCTGTGCCAGCCCCATGGCAGGCAGGGAGGGGGCTGTGCCTGGCTCCAGGAGATCATCCTGTGGTGTTCCCCAGGTGGGAGTACCACCATGGGATTCCTGAACCTTGGTCACGCTTGCCCCATGCTGCAAGTGGGGAAGGGGCTGTAGGCTGTACCCAGGCATCCAGTTTGCCACGGGAGCGCGACAAGCCACATGTGTGGAGAGCAGGGCCTGTGTTGCGGGACCCTGGACCCTGCTTATCTCGGGAACCTCTGACCTGAAGGCACCAGAAAAGGCACGTTTTCAGGTGGTTGGCAAACCCCCAGGACAATGTGTTCTGCCCTAATCTCAAGCTGCCAGGGACAGAGAGGGTCCTCAAAGACTGGGACCCTTCCTGGGGGAGCTGCTGCTAACCCAGGCACCCCAAATCAGCAGGACCTTCATGTCCATTGGGATGCAGCTGCCCTGTGGGGCTTGGGCTGGCCGTACCACAGCCCAGGCGACAGAAGGCAACACGGTGACAACTCACAGGTCCAGGGAGCTCTGGACGGGGAGATGCCCCCCATCCCTGTGCCTGAGGGCAGGGTGCAGTGTCCCTGCAGGGCTGGTGGGCAGAGCCTGCTGTGTGTCCTGTGGTGTCCAGAGAGCGCATGTGCAGCCCAGCAAAGAGCAGAGCTGGGGTTTGGGGAGCAGGTAGCGAGAGGGAGCTGTTTCAGGCAAGGTACCCCTGCCGTGCAGGGGCTGTGGAGCCAGCCCCACTCTGCTCTGGTCCCCGCGGGGAGCGGGGGAAGTGCCTGGCAGGAGTGCTGCAGGGCCAAGAAGGGGAACTGGGGGCATCCCAGCCCTGCTCGAGGCCTTGTGGCACCTACAGATGCCTCAGCTTAGGGTCTCGGGCTTGAGCTGAGGCATCTATGGGGCCACAGGGCCCAGCCAACAGCTCCTCTGCGCCTTCATTTGGCCCCTTTCTGCCCATGCCTGCTGCAGCCTAGAGAGCTCAGCACTGGCCCCAGGAAAGCTGTTTGTTCAATAAATACAGACAGTGAAAAGAGGCTTTGGAAAAAAGAAGGGAAAAAAAACAGAAAAAAACAAACAGCAAACCCTCTTTGGGTTTGCGCAAGTGGCCTTGGGTCCCAGACAGTATTGATCCCCAAGTCTTCCACCCTGCCTGTGCACCAGCTGGGTCAGTAGGAACCCTTCAGGTCCAAGTCCTGGAGGCACCAGAGCCTGGAAGACTGGATCTCAGCACGGTGGCTGCTGCGACCTGATGGGGAGATGCGGGTCCCCACTCCAGCAAGGCTCAGTAGGAGCACCTGCCTCAGGACACATGCAATGTGGGCAAACACTGTCTCCTGCTAGTGGCTCCTCCATCCTTGCCTAAGGTACCACAGGTCCTCTGGGGCAATGTGCATCCTGGCCCCAACCCAGCCAGAGCTGGTCATGGCTCCAACCACCCTTGCCTGATCCTGGAGTGGGACAGCAGATGTAAAGCCGTCCTTCAAGCCAGACGGGGAGAGGGTCTGACGCTACTCTCCTTCCTCTGCCAACCCTCTTCCCACCTGGTTCAGCTCTGTCTCCAGCCTCTGGGGTGGGTTTGTCAGTGTTTGCAGGGTGGACCATGGGACTGCAGTCACCCAGCTCCACCCCAGCCAGCTGCATGCATCCTGGGGGGACTGCCCCAGGAGCTCCCCTTGTGAACCTTCCTCTCCCACCCCCAGCACCCCCTCCCTGCTTTCTCAGCCCTCGCACATGGGGGACACGTGGGAAGCAGTGAGGAAACCCTGACGCGAGATTATGTAATGGGGCTGATGTGTCAGAGCTGCCCTTTGCCCCCAGCTCTCACGGCACTGACATATCCCACTTTGCCAACCAGCCAGGCTGGCAAGGGGCAGCAAAGGGGGCAGCTGCTCCAGGCCGTGGTCCAGAGATGTGCCAAGAGGTTGCTCCCCAGTGAGGGAGCTGGTGTGGGGTTGTAGCCAAGGTTGGGTGTCCTGGGCACCCTGACTTTGGTGATCTTGCCTGGCAGTCTCTGTCCACTTGAAAAGGGAGAAGAGTTGTTCAGTTTTGTCCTGACTTGGGACAAGAATGGCCAAATACAGATGGTTTTAGTGGAATGGAAAATTTGGCCCAACCAAGGAATGGTGTCTTCCCTGGTGGAAATCACAAGCCCCCTGTGTCTTGGGGCTCCCACACCATGCCCTGGGTCTGGTTGAGACAAGTCAGGGGCTCCGCATCCCCCCAGGAAAGGCAGCCAAGGGGCAGAGAGCATGAGAGCCATGGGGGCCAGCAGCACTGCAGTTTTTGGGCACAGAGCGTCCTGGTGGTGGATGCCCAACCCCGCTGCCTGAGTTTTATAATCAAGTCGTCGTTTAGAAGAGGACTGCACATAGCAGAGTGGGTCAGTTCTGTGCCATCTTGGGGCTGTCCGTGCTAGGACACATCCACCACCTTGCACTTTGGGGAGAGGTGGAAGATGTGCTGGCTAATGACAGGGCACACGTATGTGTACACGTACATACAGGTGTGCACACGACAGCTGGGAGTCTTTTATTGAAAACCAGGTAGCTGGGATGCTTGGAGAGGGAAACACCTTCCTCCCACTGGGATCAATTTCCCCTTCCTCACCCGCCCCAACCTCATGTCCAGCTGAGGAGTGGGGCCCCATGGACGGCCCTCTCCCCTCTGGCCTAGCCATCCCCCAGCATCTTTTCAGCTTCTATCTCCCCCAGCAGCCTGAGGTGGCTGCTCCTGGGACTCGTTACCTGAGGAGCACATGTTTGTGTTGCAGCATGGAGGGCTGCCCCATGGCCTTGGTCTGGGACCAGCAGCAGGGCGAGCTGGGGCTGCCCTGACCCACCCAGGGAGTTGTGCCCTGCGAAGTCCTGGAGGCGGAAGGACCCTCCTGGTGTCCATCAGGAGATGGCCTCGCGGGCCGTGGCTCATGGGCAGAGAGGAATCCACGGGCAGATCTGAAGGGGGAAAAGAGCCGTGTGGGAGGTGAAGGAAGAGAGGACTTGCAGATTCAGCATCGCCCTTGATGCTTCAACCTCAGGAGGAGAAAGCACCTTGGCAGGGTTCCCATCACTCAGCAGCTTGCCGGGTCTCGCACTGCCGGGGAGGGTCTGGGAGGAGGGCAGCCCTGCACAGCACAGGTCCTGCCCTCCTGCCTCCTCAGGCAGCGGGTCAGGTACAACCACAGGCATCGACAATCATGTCGGGGATGTCGGTCTTGACGATGTTGCTGTCCCGGTCATAGTAGAGCAGAGAGAGGGGGCGACGCTGTGTGGGCACGCAGCAGGAGTCCACAGCTGCGTTCGCGTTGTTGGCTTTGATGAGGTTGAGGACGGCCGTGTGGAAGGAGGCAGCGAGACCAGGGATGCCAGCCATGTGTAGGGGGCAGAGCCCCGCACAGTAGTTCATGTGATATCCCTCTGGCTGGATGATCCAGTCTTCCCAGCCGATCTCCTTGAAGTCCACAAAGAAATCCTGGCGGCAGCACATCTGAGAGTCCCCGCTGCAATCAATGCCGCGCCGCTGGACCCGGTGGGGCGTCCTGGCCCGAGCCTGGGCTGCCACAAATGGCCAGTGGGAATCACCACGGCCAGCCAGGAGGGGAGACCCCCAGTCCTCCGCCACCTCCAGCTCCACAGTGAGCCTCTGACTCCCTTGGCCAAAGAGGCTCTGGACAGCTCGGCCCACGTCCAGTGTGGCCCAACCAGCCCTCTGCACCTCCAGCCGTGTCTCGCTGGCCACGGTCATGTTCAGCCCCGTTGGGTCTGGCTGCAAGAGTCTGACGGTGACAGGATGCATCCCGGGGCCAGGGACTGCCCAAAACAGGTAGAGGGTGGCTTGCAGGATTTCAGTGCTCCCAGCCAGCTCCCGGGTGAAGTGGAAATGCAGGTGAACGCTGCGGGAGGTGGAGGACCCTGTGCACAGAACCGAAAGCAGAATCAGGAGGTGAAGGGAGGAGGTGGAGGGCTCCTCCGGCCGGGGGCCACCGAGTCAGAGCAAATGTGATGTATATCCAAACCAGGGAGCAGGGTGCAGCACATACAGGCATCAAGGGGCCCCTACTTTCCTGCACCGCTGCTGCTCCTCCTTCTTATGCCGCTCTAAAGCAGCAGCATCTGGGCCCGGTGCTGAATGCAGTGACCCGGCTTGGTTCCACCTCCTCTGGCCTGATATCCCCCTTGTCAGCGAAGCTGCTGGAGGGTTTTGGTGCGGGTCATATGGCTGTGTAAACCAGCCTTGGATTTAAGGCAGTCACACTGATTTGAACCTCCAGGATTACCTCTGCTTTCCATGGCTGGAACCATCACCTGACATCGCTCCAGCATGTCCCACCCTTGCTGCTGCTGAGGCTGCAGAGCTGCCTCTCCTTGCAAAGGAAGGGCTGATGGGGACCACGAGAGCAGCACTGGCCTCCTTGGCACAGCTCTGCCCGTGAGGACACAACCCCCCTCCTCTGTGGTCTGGCACAGCGCAGCAGAGCGAGAGACTGGGCTCAGGCCCGTGGCTCACGCCGGCTCTTCCGCTTCCAGCAGACACTCCACCAAGCCAGGAGACAACTCCCCATTGTCCTCATGTATGGGAACACAGCGTACTGTGGAGGAGCATTGTTCCCAGAGGTCTTCAAGGACATGGCAAACCCTCACTATCCCACAGCAGCCATGCAAACCACTTAAAGGCATGCAAGGGGAGTATGTGCCCCCCACACCTCACCAAGCAGCAGTTTGGGCTGGGCAGGGTGACGGTGCAGAAGGATGTTCTGCAGGATGGGGCGGTGATTCTGCTTCTTTCCAAAGGTGGCTGCATTTGCCTGGGAGAAGTGGGGGGTACCGGACCTTGTTTATCCAGTGATACTTGTCAGGACCCCTGAGCACCTTTTGTGGAGCTCTCTCCTCCCAGGAACACAGCTGATTCTGGAGTGAAATGTGGCAGCCCACCACTTTGGGTAGGAAGTGGAGACGCAGCTGAGTGCAGGGAGCCAGATGGGCTTTAGAGGTCTAAGCCCACGCACTGCAAGCTGATGGGGAGTCTAGGCTTAAAATCATGTTTTGAAAAACATGGCCATCTGACCCCTCCACCTCTAGCACAAGCGAGGAGGGTTCAACAGAAATGGACAAAAAATTCACATGATACAGCAGTCCATCTTTGCTCCTGCACCCACCCCCTTGCCCCCACATGTAATACGTAAATGAGAGGGGCCCCAGAGCCTCAGTAGTGCTTCCCCTGTCTGTGGCGAGGGGCGGCCAGTTGGGGTAAGCTCAGGACATGGATGTAAGGGTTCTGGATGTGGAACCTCTCATTGCCAGTCCTTCAGCAGCAGTGTGCCCCCTGGCCTGGTGCGTAGCCTGGCATTGCTTGCAGGAGCGCGATGCCCCCGGGCAGAGCTTTTGAAATGCCTGTGCAGAGGAGGAAACCTCTCACCACCTTCCCACAGGCAAGACCTTCCTTCCCTCTGTGCCGCCCCCCACCTCAGGATCCATCCCACCGTGCCCGTGGGGTGCAGGATCTGTACAGACCTGATTCGGCAAAACTCAAGATCTCATATTCCTGCAGGCCTATCCCAGGACGCAGGTGTGGGATGCTGCCGTCATGGGGCATCCCGGGGGAGATGGCCGTGTCCACGCGCTGCGCACGCATCCTGCGGAGAGCGGTCAGCAGGACCCCCCTGGACGTGGGCTGAGTGATGTTGGGCCTGTCTGGCAAGCGGAGTTTGGAGAGGATGCTCTGCTTTGCCAGCGCGATGAGGACGTCCCGCTGCGTGGTGGGGGCCAGGGCTGCCAGCCCGCAGGCTGGGCACCACGCTCCCTTGGGAGCCGCCATCCTCAGAAGGCTCAGGAGCAGGAAAGCCACGGTGGCTGTCATCTCCAGTGCCAGGAGGTGACAGCTTGGGGGTCTTGGCAAACAGTGATCCTCCAACTGCCCGATAAGCCAAAGTCAAATCGGGACAGCAGCGCTGGGGCTGGGAGAGCAGAGCGTGGCAGCAGGACAGCAGCGCCGGACTCCGCAGGAGCAGAGAGTGAGGAAGGGCTCGTTCTCCTGACGTGGCCACAAATATTGGCTGATCCCGGGCAAGATAAACGCCCCTGTGATCCCGCAGGAGCCTCTCCCGGGCACGAGGCAGCAGCTTGCCCCGGGTTAAGGTGGACCCGGGCGGATGGCGCTCCTTTCTCGGGGCGGCGGGGGGGGGGGGGGGGGCCGCCCGGGG